GTCTCCCAGTGTCTTGGGTTCACTGTTCCCAGCCAATGGGAGCCACAGGAGCTGCCGGCCGGGGCCATTCCTCTTCCTGTTGCTCCCCTTGGCTGGAAACAGTGAACCAAAGTCACTGGGAGCTGTGATCCTATGTGGCTGCAGAGTCTTTAGATATTGAGAAACAATGTGCTGCAGCATGAAATTGAAGATTTCCAAATCTGTTTGTATCCAAGACATCAGTGCGGTTTTTGAGGCTCTAGTTGCTGAAATCTGACTAGTGTCTTCTGCCTTGCACCTCCTGGTTGTGGTACCACATGAAGACTCTCAGTGCTGGTTGTGTTCAGCTGCAACTCACTTGGACAAATCAGAAGAGTGGCTCTTCAAATCAAAAGTGTGACCTTTTGCTTGGTCAGTACAGGGAATTATGATTGGTGGTGAGCAATCTCTGAAGATCTTTGCTTCTTCCTACCTTAGGCACCAAAAATGGTTACTAACTTAAAAAAGACTGGTCTGAGTTCGGAGCAGGTATGACAAGCCAGTCAATTGGTCAATTGACAAACTCAACACCTGTTTTAACCACTGTCAGTATTCCAGCAAGAATACCTTCGAAACAGCATCTGTTACACAGGCTACTTAAATGTCTCAAATTCACTTTTCTAAATGTTAATGCTTGGAAAAGCGTGAACTAAACTGGAAGTTGAACATCTTGATTTGCTAGAATTTTCATTGTATCATTGTATACATGCCCATATATTTTGACTCACCAGCATGCATGGTAGTTTACAAAGCACAGTAAACAAATTAAAATACAGTTTCTACCCTGATTATTTTACAGATGGATCTGATTAAAAAATCCCCCACAGCAATTGTTCAATCTTGAATACCATTCATAGTTAAAATGCTATTTTAATATTGTTAAAAATAAAATAAGAATTATTCTTTCAGTTTGTATAACTTAATATTGTTTCACATTTTTTCTGAATTAAAATAAGTAGTTTGTTTTCTGTAATTATGAGTAAAGTACCTATCTAAGACTTTCTACTGGAAACCTTTGAGACTTACTCTTTTTTTTGTTATTGTTGTCATAAAATATTGCTTTAGAATATTTGACCAATGTTTGGTGAAATAACTATTTTTGGCCTAGTTAAATGCTTGGTTCTATGTCAGAAAGGTCAGATCTCCTCATGCCTGAAAAGATTTGAGGACAGGGGGTAGCATCTCTAATAACTGGTGCTTTAAGAGGGGCTGGCTTTGGAGAAGCAGCAAACTGCTTATGAGAAAGGAACTCAGAATCCATATGTTCTTCATGGATTTCTCTATCAAAACCAGCTTCAAACAAGTGTTGCAGCTTTGTGTGTGCACATGGAGAAAAGTTTACAAACAGTGCATTGTTGGTGCATTTATTGTACCAATCATTCAGAAGCACAGGTAGAGTAGCTTTTGAAACCTGGATACCTACTCTCATAGCTGAGAGAGACCTTGGTCTGGAGGAGACTGAAGAATTTTCATTTTTCCAAACTGGACAAATTAAATTCAGTAACAAGAATATAAGAAACTAATTACAATAAGACTGCTAGAGGGAAGCAATTAGACACAGAATTGCTCCATCCTGCTGCCACAAGTGGGAATATGGAAATAAGGGGCAATTGAGATTGTTTTAATCCTTTATGTGCCTGGTAGTTGGATCTGAGGGCATGCAGGATCTACCCAGTGTAGACCCAATAGATACTGCTGGTCAAAAAAATCCAAGCTTTTGCATGTACACGCACATGCACAGTGTGATCTATAAAACTATTACTCAAAGAACCACTTTTAAACAAGAGAATTATAATGGAAACATTCTCTTACGTGCACACTCATTATCACAATGTTATATATGAAATATTTCCAGTGAAAGCAAGTATATTTACATGTTGGAACTAACTATGTGCCTAACATAGGTACATACAATAAACATGCAGGGATTATACCTTAAGAAATCCAAGGAAAATCCATTTACCTTCTATCATATTACCCTCCTGAAAAATCCTTTCCTCACACCACTGGCAATGGATAAGATACCGAATTTTCTTGACAGAATCATCTGCGGGAGATGGTCCCCTCAAAACTCTCACCACTACTAGGACAAAGTGTTCTAGAGCAACTGCTAGCAAAACGTCAATGCCTTTATTACATCGAGCTGCAGCTCTACAAAAGCAAAAAGACAGCATATCATAATAGGAACGCAATAGAGATTTCATTTCCCAGATATTCCGCCTTGTGCCATATATATGATCATCCACTGTTTGGAAAAATATCTACAATATCTATAAACAGCCTCTCTTTAGACTGCGGGCTCTGGAGGGAAGGAAGAAGTTATTCACCCTGTGCAGTAACGATGGTTCTTTGAGATGTGTGTCCCTGTGAGTGCTCTACTTGGTCTCCGTGTGTCCTCATGCCGCTGATCAGAGATTTTTGCTTAGCAGTGCCTCCAGTGCCATGCATGCACACTCGCCGTCATGCACTGTTGTCTGTTGAGTGTGCGTGCAGCGCAAACCTCCCTCTGTTTCTTTTCTACCTGAAAACTGTTAAAGGACTCCAAGCAGAGGGGAGGAAGGGAGGATAATGGAGCACCCACATCTCGAAGAACAATCTGCACAGGGTGAGTATCTTCTTCTTCTTTGAGTAGTATCCCTGTGGGAGCTCCACTCAGGTGACTTACTAGCAGTACCTACCAGATGGTGGTGGGCATTGGAGCCATTTATGTAAAGATGGAAGACCGAATCTGCTAGAGTAGTCGTAGATGTGGATCCTTTCTGTAGGGCATAATGCTGTGTGAAACTGTGATGGGAAGACCATGTCGCTGTTCTACAAATGTCTACTAGTGGTACATTACGTAGGAAAATCACTGATGTGGCCGTCACACGTATGGAGTAAGCCCTGATAATCTGTGGTAGCTGTTTTCCGAGGAGCTGGTAAGCTGTGTATATGCAGCTTGCAATCCATTTGGAAATGTGTTGTGCTGAGATGGCTAATCCCTTATGGGGGCAGGACCAAGAGATGAAGAGTCTGTCTGATTTCCTGGTCTCTTTGGTACTCTCTAAGTAGAATGCGATGGCTCGTCCTGCATCTAAAGTGTGCACAATGGATTCTCTCAAGGATGTTTGAGGTTTAGGAAAATACGAAGGTAAGTATATGGGTTCATTTAGGTGGAAGTCAGATACAACTTTGGGAAGGATGCAACTTTGGGATGAGGCCTGAGTATGACCTTATCCTTAGTAAAAGTAGTGTACGATGGGTCAGCCATAAGGGCTGCAATTTTGCCCACCCGTCTTGCAGATGTTATTGCCACTATGAAGACCACTTTCATGGATAAGTACCATGGCTAGTGGTTTAAAGGGTGGCCTGGTGAGTGTGTCATTAATGAGATTTAGGTGCCAAGATGTTACCATAGGACATAAGTTTGGGCGCGTTTTCTGCAAGCCTGTTAGGAATCGCTTTGTCATTGGATGTGCAGAGTGAGAGATCAACTGGTTTGTGGAAATTGTGACCGCTGAGAGATGGATCCGAATGGAGCTAATGGAGAGGCCTGCATCGCTGAGGTCCATCAGCTACTCAAGTATGGTAGGTATGGGGGCAGTGTTTGGATGTACATGATGAGTGGTACACCTCTGCTGAAAGTGTTTCCATTTGTTTTGGTAGGTGTATCTTGTAGAGGGCTGTTGAGTGTTCAATAGGATGTACTTGACACTCTGAGCATGTAAGTTCTTCATTTTGGAGCCATGGAGAAGCCATGCTGTGAGAGTCAGAGTTTTTATGTTTGGGTGGTAGGTTTTGCCTTGGTTTTGAGTTAGCAGGTGGGGAACCAGGGATTGAGGGATCAGTTAGCTTATTGAAAGGTAATGTAGATAGGGGAACCAAGATTGTCTCGGCCAGAAGGGAGATTTCAGAATTATTATGGCGTGGTCGAAGCGTATCTTATTGATTACTCTGGAGAGAGGAGTGAAACTGATGGGAAAGCACAGAGTAGGGGAGTGGTCCAGTGAATGGTGAATGTGTCCCCTTCCAAACCCTTGCCATGACCTGCATGGAAGCAGAATCTGTGGAATTTGCGGCTGGCTACCGTGGCAAAGATATCTATAATTGGGAATCCCCATTTCTGAAAAACTGGAAGAACATTAATATTGATCGACCATTCCTGTTGTTCTGAGAAGTGTCTGCACAGTTTGTCGGCCCTAGTATTCTGCTGGCCTGGTATGTAAGTAGAGGTTGGGGGTATGTAGTTCTTTCACAACACTAGTTCCAAAATTCAATTGCCTCCGCACATAGTGAGTGTGATTGGGCACCCGCCTGTCGACTGATATAGGATGTGTTGTCTGTGTAGACACAA